AAAATAGACTCTAAATTTATCAATCTTGATATCAAAAGAAAGAGCTGTGAGTATATTTTCGGATGAATTTGATTTCGCTTGAATCCAAAATCGGTGTAGAAAGTTATGGCTAGAACAATATAGAAAGGTAAATTCATTGAAAAATTTTAGATTCACAGTTTTGTTCCCAATCGAAAGAAATGTCATGTATGAAGCCAAAGTCTTCCAAACTTTTTAGGATTAAGATGAAATCAGAGATCAAGAGTTCTGTATGAAAGGGTTAGAACACTTGCCTTAAACAAATTTGAGTCTCAAATGTATGGAATTGATGCAAATCTCAAGCCAAGGCAAAGCTTCTTCTTCTTCTCCTACTTCAATTCCTCTTCCTTTCTCCTCTTAACCCACGTTGGCGTAACTCTTAAGTTTTCCTTTAATCTCTCATATAATTACTTAGGTTTGGCTAACGAAAGGGTTGCACGGTGACAAGCATGCATGAAAAAGATTTAGGTGTCATCCATAGAACAAACTTAAGTGGCACCAGTAGGTTAGCTAGTGACACATTGTCACGGACAAACTTCGAAACAGGATGTTTGGTGTAATGCTTATGTATGTCCGTGTCTTTTGGTATGTTCATGCTTTGTACAGCATGTAGAGGGACGACCGAAGGCTTAATAGTCTCATTTTAGTTAGATTAGTGGCCGCTTTAGGCTTGTAAATAAAAGTTGTGTCATGTGGACACGTGTGAGAGATTTTTGATCTATAATGGACTATTTTACCCTTTGTTGTGCAACTGTTCAGAGCTTGTAAAGTCTGTTTGTAATTTACATTGTCTATGAAGTGTTTTCGGAATTGTTTGCTTGTGGATCCCGAATGAGATGTTTTCTCTAACTCGTTCTCTCTTTTGTGGGTCCTAAGGGACATGGGAGGCTTCGGGGAGGCTGACCTTTGTGGACGGACACGCAAGGGTGCCGCACAACTTAGGCAAAACCAGCTAAGGCCGTGACCGATGGTATCAGAGTGGGACAAGCACTCATAGAAACACTTAGCATGCAAACGTGGGAGACCTAGCGGGGCTACGTTGAGGGCAGTCAGCACACTCGCGACCGTTTGGGGGAAAACGAGCATAGAGATATAGGGAAAAGGAGTCGCTCGGAGGAGCGGGCATCTGAGATTGGCATTCAGAGGAATGACCAACCCTTTGCGCGAGAGGCACCACGAGAACAAACAAGCTTGGAAGAATGCGGAGTGCACAAAGGTTGGGATGGCTGAGTTTGAGTTATGGTTCAACGTTGACAACTATACTTGATGGTGCTCAAGGCAAGCGAGGTGCTTGGTAAAGGATGAGACCATCCAAGGTGGAATAAGTTGCTCAGCGACCGAAAGAGTTGTGCAAAGCTCACAGAGGTGAGGGGAATTACTAACTCAAAGAATTCGGTACTCATGCATGGGCTTGTATGCGGATGATGGAATGTTCGCGGCCATCCCAAGGTGACCAAAACTCGACGCCATGGAGCATTGAAACTTTCTCTTCGACATGTGAAGGATACGTCCGTAGGAGGCTGAAGTGTGCAACGAGTTCAGCATGTTGCTAGGCCTTGAGTGGTGCAGTGGGGGCTGTATTGACGTGGAGTCACAATCTAGCAAGTGTGTTTGCAGGAGACAGAACAATGCACAGTTTGTTCAGCAGATCGGAGTAGTCCAAGGGGATGGTGGTCTCCGAAACGACGAGAGATGTTGCTCCAACGGAACAGTTATCCAGGAGGGATAAGTCCCGGCTCTCCAGAGGGAGAATCATATGGGATAGACCTCACAAGTTGAGGAGGAGTACCTCAACAAACAACAACTCCATGAAGCTCAATGGACTGAGCAAGCGGCGATGAGTTGTTGCATGATCTCGCTCGAGAGAATGCATTGGTAGATGCATTGTGAGATCAAGTGGGGGAGCGACTCAAAGCAACACAAATGAAGGCACACTTGGAGTCGATATGGAGATCGAACTCAAGGGAGGGCTGACCCATGGAATGGTGGGCACGAGGGCCACCATCAACTCAATGCAAAAACGAGAAGCGGAGCAACTTGGGTGTAACTTGGCGAAGTACCCAAGCCGCATGAAGGGAGCCAGTATAGAAGATAGAACATGGAGCGGAGGCATAGTGCTTTCCTTGGACAAAGGTCAAGAACATGAACTCTTGCAGAGGCAAAAGCAGGATCATGTTGTTCCATGGGTCATTCATTCTGACAGAGCGGACTCATCTTGCATGGTGCCAAAGACGAAGGGAGCTTCTGGGCACATGCACCTTATCTCGGAGGAGCATTTGATGGAGGAACTAAGGCGACTCAATTTGTGAAGGCAAAGTTAGATTCAGAATGCCTTAGCATGGGGCAAGAGGACATAGATGCGGGTACTCTTGAAGAATATGCCACAGTGTTGCCATTCAAGTTGCCATGAAGGAAGCGGTGCGCAGCGAAGATTGTGCTGGTAGGGGCAGAGGCCCAGGATCCAGACAATGGTGTACTAATTGCAGCGAAGTCGGGGGACTTCGGGAGCTACTAGGTGACGGACTGTCCTAGAGCGGTGCTTCATCTAGGTGTGACCCAAGAGTGGGTAGATGAAGGTCGATTGCCAAAGGAGCGAACAAAATCGAAGGTGGAAGAGACCCTGCGATGTATTTACAGAGGCCACACATGAAGGGTTCACAATTCGAGTTCATCCCACAAGAATCAGAATGTAATAGAAATGTCACCAAGAGGCGACATGGTGTAGCGGATCATGATGGAACAGTTCGTGGCAATGTAATACACACAACATAGTCCCGTGAGGGACTAGATCATACGGAGGTATGATCGGGAGCTACTAGAAGCTCCACTTTGGTGAACAACACGACGGTAAGAAGGGCTATGGATTCAAGGAGTGAAGGCCATGGTACTGCAAAGGCGAGTCTTCCGTGCGTGCATCGAATTTTGCATCGAATGAAAGCCTTTGTCATCAGCATATGGGGGCTATGTTCCACCAATAGAAAAAGTTCGAATGCAAGTACTAGTGAGTCATAGGGGAGGGACTTGATCATGCAGAGGTATGATCGAAGCAATTGGAGAGTTGGACTACTCCAAAGCCCATATTTGCTTAAGGAAGCCCGACAAGTCAGAGGACAAGGTCGAGTAAGCAAACGTTGCTACCAAGGAAGCTAAGGAGAACAGAATCGGTGCAAACCCTACAATGTGATGGCAAAGGCCATGCATGGGAGTTGCAGTATGTCTTTCCATCGACCAATAGGATCTGCTTGGAGAACATCGAGGTGTTGAAGTAGGGGGTCAAAAGGGGCGAGGAAGCGACGACCAGTCCAGAGGGACTTAGCTATCCAAAATCAAGCATCAATTAGAATGGAGGTGGACTCGGAGGAGTGCCACATAGACATATCTACTGATTGTGACAAAAAGGGATGCAGATGCGAGGCGACAGATAGTAGGGCCATGGGCATGGTAGCGTCATGGTACCGCAGAGGTGGGACTTTTGTGAAAGTCATTGATCCTTTGCTCTCATGGAGGGAGAGCGCTTGGTCATGAAAGGGGCCGAGGAGGTGGAGCATGCAGAGGCAGACTCCAAGTACCGAGACAAGGCTGAAGGGCAGAGGCCAAGGAACTTCGTAAGACCGGTGTCAACGAGCTTCTCATCAAGATAGCCGAAAGTGAAGGACTTCAGGTCAGGCAAGAGTGCATGACGAAGGAACGAAGCAGGCAATACGCGGTGTTGTACCTTTGCTACTTAGTAGAGTAGGCGGCAGGGTTGATGGAGAAGACGGTACAATCCCAGAGGCGACCAAACCTATGAGAGAATTACTCCAAGTTAGGGTAAAAACTTCCTACATTCCAGAAGTTCGATGGCATTGAGAAGGTGAATCACAGTAACTTACTCAACGCAAGGAGTGCAAACACTTCAAGTGCTTCAGAAGTGTGAGCAAAGAGCAGGCGAAGGCCAGTAACCAGCTCGATGCATGGAGTACAACCTCAAGGAGGCGGGCGAAGCCAAGTAACCTTTGCCTTCTCAACTCTTAAGAGAATGGGCGAAACCGAGTACCCCAATTCTCTTATCTATCCAACAGAGGAGCTCTACATATGTTTAAAGACCCTTCGAAGATAATGGAAGACAATAGTTGTCAAATCCTCACCAATGGTGATCAGTGTTACTGAGAGTAGATTATCCGCTTCATTTCCCAACGAAATGTCAATCGAAAGCGGAAGTGATGCGAACCTACTTGGATGTGACAACTAAGTGAAAGAAGAGTCCATGAGCAAATTTTGTAGAGGAAGGACCCAAAACTTCAGAAGTTTGCGAGACGATGCTCGTTAAAGCTCCAACAAGCATCCACCCAGTTTAAGCAACATGAGGCATTTGAGAGACTAGCGCAGTAAGGATGGTCTTTTCCTTCATTTGGAGAATCCGCAGGAACCAACAGGGATCAACACAACTCAGCCAACCCCACACTAGAGTCAGAGTCATTGGCGAGTTGAAGCAGCATGGCGGATCAAAGGTTCGACTACTCAAAAACAGCAGCAAAGAGCGGTTGGGAGCCAAGAGGCGTATTGCAGCTAGAGCAGAAGATTGAAGACTCAGCAAAGGCAAGGAGTTGTAGTGTCGACAAAGACTTCGACGAGGACGTCGAAGGAATAAGTGGGGGAGAATGTCACAGACAAACTTCGAAACAAGATGTTTGGTATAATGCTTATGTATGTCCGTGTCTTTTGGTATGTTCATGCTTTGTACAGCATGTAGAGGGACGACCGAAGGCTTAATAGTCTCGTTTTAGTTAGGTTGGTGGTCGTTTTAGGCTTGTAAATAAAGGTTGTATTATGTGGACACGTGTGAGATATTTAGAATGAGTTAGAAAAGAAAGATTTCTTCTAATCATATCTTCTACCAAATCCTACGTCGACAGCCTTCCATATCTTCACCTATCTAGTAGGTCAAAAGATAGGCAAGGGGTCAACAGTTTATGGGGAAGATGACTAAGCAGAGCCAAGACTCATCCTGCATGCAAAAACACTATGATTTGGGTCTGTGAAGAGAAGATGGGCACGAAGTCATCCATAGGTACAAGAAATTAATATCTGAATTCAGTGTAACGTCGGAGGATCAACTGATGGAAAGCAAACAAGCATAAAAACAAGAGAGAGAGATGGATTATTTAGGGTTAGCGTAAGCTAGTCGAAGAGTTCCCAGTTGTTGGTAATCCAATCCCCTCCCTGGGAGACTTGGACGAGTTGTAACTGAGCGCTCGGGGCTTACCAAACCAGATTCAAACGTCTGCCGTTGAGTTGTAACTGAGATTTCTTCTTGCCTTCAGCAAGTCCAATGAGAAAGAATACGGCGAACCTGAGAAAGAATTTTCAAAGGTCAAATGAGACTTTTGCGCAACTCATATTAACCAAGAGAGATTTCGTATAGACTTCTTAAAAGGTATTATATTAGAGAAAATTTTCTTACTACAAGTACAATGCTAATTATGTTAGTTCCTGCAAGTAAATAGGCTATTTTCGTGTCTCATTTGAAATATCTATAATGGAACCTAAGCCGACGGGGTTCTCCTTCTCATCATGATCCAGGAGATGGACAAAGAGACTTCAGAGATCTTAACCATTACAGACTAAGCTCAGCGAAACCCAGCATTTTCTTGTCTTCACGGCCACAACTACTACTTTTTATTAACTTCTTGTTATATTTAACACACTCTCGAGTTATTTAGGATAATCGTATCCACATTAATTATCGGTAGCTGTAATTATGAAGACCGCAAAAGACGTACCATCAACATGCTATATTATACGCAAAAACATGAAAGTTTGACTCCATAACTGCAATTGGAACTATATATTGATTTAATTGGAAGAAAAGCTCGAGAGGGATGTTTCATAATTCAAGAGTACCTCGAATCTCCTCCGCGTTCTCGCTTCCCCCTCTGCCTCGACGCTGTCTGATTTCAGCAGTTGCACCATAAGCAACTCAGTCAAATCCGCCAACTCTTCGTCCGCAGCCTTCATGCTTGCGTGCACGCAAGTCTCCGAACTCGATACCTGCATTCTAATCCGATCGGTTCCGAGCAGCGACTGGAAAGTTTCGAGATGATCGCAGGGAACCCACCGACCTTTGCAGCGAGCTTGTCCACCGCAGCTCCGATAGCCGCGATCGTCTCAGACGCCTGATGCCGATTCATACGCTCGAGCTTCCTCTCCTTGCTTGCCGGGTCCTCCAACAGGACCAGCTTGGACATTTCCACGATCCCAGCCATGTGCAGGCGCTCACCGTCGTCCTTTTCCTTTCCCCTGAACAACAGCCTCTGCTCTCCAGGCTGCAGACCGGTGTCTTGTGCCAGAACCCTTTTCAATTCCCCTTCACATCATTAATCGTCAAAACGTCACTTTTATCGAAAGATCGGAGGAACAGAGAAGAACAAGAGTCCCAAGGGGGTCTACCGAAGGTGGAGTGGGCAGGGACGGAGAGCTGATGCTGGTAGGAGCCATGGGAGACCTTGATCTTGATGAGGGGCTCGGTCGGCATGCCAGCCACGTTGCTCCGCTTCTGTACCACCATCCCTCCGGGGCGGAGCTCCCACTCTGTCATCCGGCAGCTCTGGCTCTCCCTCCCACCCACCATGCCGTTTGATCTCGATTTCCTCATCCTTCTATCGAACAGAGACGAAGCGAGCAGGAAAGGAAGGCACAGGGTGTTGGTCGAGCGAGTGCCACAGCTTGTGACAGCTTCGAAGTGCACAGCGGAGGAAGAGGGGGACAGCCTTCAAAGATTTCATATGTTTGTGTTTGGTTAGTACGGAATCAATGGAATGGAAGGAGACGATGATGTTTTTTATTGGTCGGTGGTGATGGGTTGTATTCGGTGTTGAGAAGATAGAAGATGCAATAAATAGGTGAGCCGTGTGGGTGTCCACATCACATGTTAGGAAGGGGAGGTGGAAAAGGTAATGCATGCATCGCCTTTCACATGCAAAGTTTTGACACCGCTTCTGAATTGACAAGTGGAAATTCATCTTATAAAACGGAAGCAGGAATCACAGCCATAGTTGCTGGTTGTCCTGATAGAGATTAAAAAAAAAAAAGGTCATAAATCTTCTTATTTAATTCTGATGCTAGTGGTCAAGTATTTCCTTTTGTCTGGTAGTGATCATGATTTTTTTTTTTTGCCCAATTGCCCCCATTTGGTGTCTGATAATGTGTCCCATCATGTAATGTGGATCCTTTCGTTTTTCTCTTCTCCTCTTTTGATATCACACCATCATTTTCATTTTTTTTCCCGGACCATTAAAAATTGATCTGTTCACCTGTTTTTTAATTATTATTTTTTGTCATACATACTAAAGCAATGCCTGTACTTGCTGGCTTTTTAATACATATTTTCTGTCATTTAATTCATGTTTATAATGTATATAATTTGAAATGTTTTTTTCTTGCATGATTTTTAGAATTTGCGTTGGGAAATTTCGGTTGGTTTGCGAAGATTTAGGTATGAAAGTTTTACCTCCCATTGGTTTAACATCATTCTTTGTGTCGTTTGCGTTACGTTGCTTACGTGGAACATTCTCTCTACCCCTACGAGGGAGGGAGAGGGGAGAAGGGTACAGATATATTTAGAAACAAAATATTTGTTAGATGAAACAATCAAATTGTACATACACAAGAGAGCAAGACATATATAATATTACATATGAACCACCGCTGAGTCGAATAAATTATTATGAATACACTAAAATATAATAATATATATGTTATAGGGATGCCCTATGGAAGACCACAGTAACAAATGGACTGTGTAAATGATATATGTTATATAGAGATCGTAAGGAAGACTATAGTGACAAATGGAATGTACCCCTAACTCAAAAAGCTAACAGCTTGTTTATTGCTGTTTGTTCGCAACAATATTATAACGTAAGATATAAATCATAAAATTATAGTGGATTAATATACCACCAGGGAAATCTAACCACCGACGAGAGAGCAATATACCAATATATGAAGTTTGCAATTATGTGTTCAAGCAAAATATGCAGTTCAACTGTTAAAAATTAAATTAAACTGATTAATAAAAAAACTAATCAGTATAATTTGACTAGAAGACGAACTCATGCATATTTGGAAATAATAGAATTATGACATTGTGATCAAATAGAAGACCGCATATTATAAGAACACAAATCACATTATACATCAGAATGAAAGGAAAATATATATCTGCTATTATTTTAGCAGCGGTTATAATTGCTAATGCCCACCATTCAGTTTTCATACATAGTAAAAAGGACGCTTATCTCTTCACGTTCTGCTTCCATTTCCTCATATGTTAAAGCTTGCTTCTTTTCGACAAGCATTTTTGTTTGTTCGATAACCTGCCAGCAGGATAAGGAGAATAGGAAATCATTTGTTATTAACACTAGCGACAGAAGGTCAGAACTTCAGCATAGTCATGGTTGATGCATGGTAGTACATTATGCATATTAATCCGGATATGTGAAGCATATACAGGAAAAACAAGCAGCATTTAGATTCTAAGGTGTATTTCTGAGTAAATATGATAGTTTCTAAGCATGGTTCCAATTCTGAAAAGTTTCATCCATGCTGTAAAGTCACTCTATGACCTCAGCACAGAACTAATGTTGTGCCAAAAGTATGCCCACAAGCCTGAATAAGCATGGACCATGTGCCATAGAGCTCTGGTCATTGTCAAATCATGCCAATTTATAATTAGCATGGGGCATGCTGGCCAAATTAAAACAAAGTTTTATCATAATTGACCAGTGGATGGGCTGTCCCTTCTGATTGTGCAAACAGAAGTAGTAAATCATTATTCTACCAGAGCCAAAAGGTGGGATGATGCAGTTAGACCTCAGTCTGCCCATAATGAAATATAATACCGCCCATGTAATTTCTTGACACCAAGAAATGTTCTTCATACAATGACTGGTATGCACCAGTACTGATCAAAGCTCAAGTTGTTAAAATGAGAAACTGAATATCATCAACACCCATTTCCGATAGTAGCATGGCAATTGAAAATAGTGAAATTGTCAAGGCATGGTTAAAATGAGCATTTATTGTCATCCTTCAAAATATAATCAAACATAAAGAAAAACAAAAATAATGAATTGCATAAATAAATATATTTTCACCAACCACACATGATTCAAGAGACCAACCTCTTTCAGCAACCCACATATCCGTTCCAACTTTGCCACCATTAGAGCTACTAGTTTCTTGGAATTCATCAGCTCCGCAGCACCATTTTGCTGTGTGCTACATGAGCCTTTGGCAAAATATTTTCCATCCAGTTGCTCCAAAGGTGTGTTCTACACAAGACTCAAGCAGGCATTGAATAAAGTTTATCTTTAAAGCATCTATTCAAATGACACAAAAGACTACTCACATTAAAAAATACATACAGATAACATACACAGATCAGGATAAGGATACATACATCATCTTTAACAGATAAACATATGGAAAAGAAATCAAAATTTCATCACATCAGTCATCAATTCAAAATTTCATCATCATGTATGTTAGGATCAACATGAATACTAAATGCCATTTGTAATCCTACAACCATGTACAGACAGTAAATTAACGTGAATTCACAATATTAGTAAATATGTTGTACGTCAACAATCTTAGACGGAGACAAAAATAGACAACTAGATTCTTTAAGGTCTTCATGGAACCTGCTAAGCTAAAAAATGTTATGGATTCATATTATGGAGAATAAGCTTAATGGATTGCTCCCTCTCTTTCCTCTTTTCTCACCTTTTCTTATTCCATGCCAGAATTAGCTGAAATCAAGTGACACTCAACTGGTGTCAACTGATCCAGCTGGTTTACAGGCAATTCCATCTGCTTTCTCCAGATACTAAAAACAAAATTGAGAGATCAGATTGCCCTTGGCCAATCTCAATCCAACTTGACCAGTAAAGATCAAAATAGCAGAGTTCAAAAAGTATGAGTGACAGCGAAAGAGATACTATGAGGAGAAAGAAAATGAACAACAAAAGCAGACGTATACAGAAATTATTCAAACACGGGAAAGATGCAAATATGAAAAGTACTTCAAGTGCAGAATGACTTAACATTGTATCATAATCATCTTTGTGCCATACTTTGGATAATTGTCCAACCAAAAAGACCCACTTAGAAAGAAAGTTCTTTTAACATTATTCTGTTCTTCTGAAATTTATCTCGTTTCAAGAGCAAGGAAACCAGAAACAAAACAATACCTGGTTTCTGCTTTATACTAGTTATGAAGTATTTGTATAACCTCCAGCAAAGAGATTGCAAGATGCAGAAACAAACAAACAGAAAGGGAAGAAAGCAAATATAAGACGATAAACAACTTTAATGTTAATTGAGTTCATAATTGCTTATATATAACCAAAATAAAGTGAGCAAACAATTAAAAGAATCACTCAAGAGAGTGATTGAGTTCCTGAGGCTTTAATGTTAATCATAGATCCTTATCTAGACCACTGGATGCCCCTAAGAAATGTATTATGACCCAAAGACCACTTGCTTATCATAGATCCGTAAGGTCTTTGTTTTACGGTATTCAAATAGATTTCTTGGTCAATTTAGAAATCTGGTTTACCTCAGTACTTTTAAATCTTTTTTAAACAGAAAAATTTTGGGACTCACAAGATGACTAAAACAGGAAATCCCCAAAAGTTCATACATCTCAATTTACCTAACATAACTCTGAATTCAGCGATGAATTTAAATCTAAACTATGATAAGGTAAGACCAATAAGGCATGCCTCACTATCTTATTCATATACTGGCTGTTTACCCATAACGAATGACTTCCAAAACAAGAAATCTTAGTCTTGTATTTTACCAACCAACAAATGTAAAATTTTGCCCTATCTTGGGACATCTCTGCACTTTATTTCAGCTATAAAAGAAAAGGGTAAAAACTATAACCCCACATAAATTGGAAAGCACAAAGACATTTTTGCAGCAGGATACTGGTATTACCACCAGAAACATCCTTAAGTCTTAATCAAATAGTACATATAAATGGGAGATAAACAAGAAGCAAAAGAGTTTCATGAACAGTTGTGCCACAAAAAATTAAAATAACAATTTTGAGTAAAAGTGTACAACCAGGACATAGATCTGTGCATAATAGTGAAGATGAGAAAAAAAAATCATTTACAATTTTACAGAAACCTTTGTCAAAAAAAACCGCTCTGCTCACTGCTGAAGTGTGCCACCAGTTTGCAATCCCCAAGCAGCCAAAGACTAAAACGTGAACTTTTGATTAGCATCTCAAGTGATCAACCATTAATACAGAAGGGTCAAAAATATTTATTTTAAAATTGCTAAGATGATTACAAAAATGCTACATTATATCAGAGAAGCTCAATCGTAAAAAGCATCACGAGTCTGTATCACAAATTGGCTTGACTGACCTACTAACAAAAACAGAATAAGATATGCCTATAGAGATTGACAAGGAGGTTGATCAACCTATTGCCGTAAACATAACAGAAATTGACAAGGAGGTTGATCATTCCTATAGGGATTTGGAGACTCAAGAATTAACAAGGACATTGACCATTCTGCTTTGATTTCTGTATGGGAATTTAAATTAGACAAATCCACAAAAAACTGCGAATGAGACACTATGGTTGCATTAGAAGCAACTCAAACAAGACCATGTACAAGATTCAACTCTGCATAAATTCACAGTAGGAACTTGTTAAACTTTTAAAAGTTCTAACCATGATATTAAAAATGGATTGTAAAAGACTGAC